CTATCTATCTATCTATCTATCTATCTATCTATCTATCTATCTATCTATCTATCTATCTATCTATCTATCTATCTATCTATCTATCTATCATCTCCCTACCTACCCACATACCCACCGGTGACATTCCAATGCTTAAAAGTTGTAAATGGCTGATTTTAAGCAATTATACCATAACTTTAGTAAAAAAAAAATCAAACTTATGTCATGTCGGTGTTTTTTTTATTTTTTTGCTTTCATTTTCTAGTGTTTCTCTGTTGTATCTCTTCCCTGCTGTCTTGCCTCCAGCCCCGCCCACGCTCACATGTTTCCTCTTGTGTCTCCCCAGGTGTTTCCCATTGTCCCTAATTATTTTGCCTTCATATTCTGGGTCTTGTCTTCAGTGTTTGTTGGTTCATTGAGCTGCTATCCCCAGCCTGTGTGGTTGTCCTCYAGTTCTTGTGTCTTCCTGAGATTTCTGTAAGTTTTAGGGCCGCCCTGCCAGCCTTCTTTTGTTAAATAAGTAACCTTTTTTTGCCTTTTTCTGGATTTTTGCCTGCGCCCTGGGTCATTCTGCAKGCAACCTTACAACTTTATTTGTAACTAATAGCCAATCACTCACTGTTGGACAATATTAGTTTGTACATATTAATGGTTGCTGTTGCTTAGGAACAGCTGAGGACAGACTAGTGCTGTCCTATTAAACTAATGAATGTCAGAGGGGGAAGCAGGGTTTTTTTTCGTATGGAGTTTCTAAATTTAACAAAAGGAAATATGAGTTTTAAGATGAAATAATAATAATAATAATAATAATAATAATAATAATAATAATAATAATAATAAAAAACTGTGGCAGCATAAGAAATCATTTTTAATTTTAATATTATGTGACTGAATGACATCAGAAGAAAGTGTTTTATAAACTGTTTCAGAGTAGAAGCAAACAGCCAGGATGGATGCATGTGGACACAGCCGTACAGTGTGCAAATGTCTGCAGGGGATGGACAGATTTAATCTGAGGAGGACAGGGAGGGGGGAGAGGTAACACTCTTTCTTTTAAGTTGAGGTTAAAAGCCCGCGAGGAGGTGACCTTGGATTTAAAAGGTCCCCGAGCAGGAATCATAAACAGGTGTCAGAACAGCTGGAACCGAAAGGTTCCTGACGAAAGAGGGCCACTGAGAGTCAGAGGTGTGGAAGGATGGACGCGTAGGGAGGGGACAGCAGAAAAACGCAGGGTCGACCACCGTGACAACTCAAAACGGGACAGAAAGCACTCACTCCTGCCCACTATGGCAAAAAGACACATCGAGGCTGCTGATCTTAAAGTGAACTATCCCTTTAAGACCCATTTTAGTCTGTCTGTGTGTTTTCCTGCACCGGGAGGAAAAATCTACACTCACTCAGCTCGGCGATGCTGCCCACACGGGTGGCGAGCAGCGACTGTTCGAGCGTGCGCAGCTCAGCCTGGGTGTATCCGTGACCCTCGCCGCCTCGGCCCGAGCGCTGCTGGTCCCGGTGCAGGTTCAAACTGTCCGGCAGGCTCAGCACACCTGGAGAGGACACAGAGGACAAACACGTGAATTTTAGTGCGTTTTGATACTTTACATTCAACCTTATGAAACAGTGTGAAACGGGGAAATGCAAACTGCAGGGGAAAAAAYGCAGATTAGCACTAATCCAGTGCTTATTGTCTGAGAGTTTCATTAAATCTGACAAGATATTTTGTTAACAGACCAATAAACACAAGCAGAGACACAGCAGCATTAACATTAGCCTTTTTGTTGTTTGATTTTACCCCCTGGCCTTATTTTTGCATCATCACTTGAAGTCTATTTACACAAATTAGGCTGTGAGATGCTTCAAACATATGACTTCAAAGGGTGACCTTGTGGTTTTCCTCCCGCCGCCTTTTTATTTGCAACATCTTGTGATCTCAGATGCTTTTTTCCCCCTTTCTTGCTGCAGCAAATTGTGTTGGTGGACGAGAATTAATCCATTTAAGGGCCCTGTTATTGCAGCCAGGCTTTGCTTAGCTACAGAGAATGGCTTGTGACAGAATGGATATTGAGTTTTGCTACAGGAGAATGGAAAGCAACGCCACGCGGGGCGCTAATCCTAATGACAGAGCGCGGTGGGATAAGTCGTTTCTCAACAAACAGTAATTACAGCACGGGAGAAGTTAAGCCAATCTGTCTGATTCCAGAAGACAAAAGAGCCATACAGTGGACCGGGTGCAAGCGAGCCCACAAGTCTTATTCTGTTGTTGTTTTCCCTGGATGAAAAGGAAAGAGGGAATTCACATCCACAGATTCTCTTCCCACAGTGTCCAGCCCAAGAATTCCAGTATTCCCCCAATCAGAGTCCCACTCTCTGTTCTTCCCACAGCCTTTCAGGCGAGGTTGCCTTTATTTAGAGTGGACTGTGTCCAAAGAGGAAATAATATTTAAGGCGTGTCTGAAAAAAAGAATTCCAGGCAAAACCTGATGGCAATAACAGCACTTAAATAGTTTTTTTTCCTCAGCAAACATAATATTTGCACACAAATTACACAAGAAAAAAAAATTTTAGTCACACACTCGCATTTAAATTTGGCAACAAGAAAATATCAAAAAGTAGCAAATGCATCGCTTTGAATATCATTGAAAAAACTGTGTCGCAAAGAACACACTGTGTTCAAATTCAGGGACGGCGTCCTCCGAAGACAGAATTTGTCGTCCGTTTACGTCACAGCGCCTCGCCGTAGGCTGTCCAAATTTGAAGATTCCTCCGATGCGGCCGAAAAATGCTTACTCCTTTCCCCCCGATTTGAGGGACTCTCGACCAACCCTATCCCATAATGCATTGCGGGCCGTAACGGCGAACGAAGCGAGAGAAAGGAGCTTAAAAATTAAAAGGTTCAAGTGGTTGTAGTATAATGCCTTTGTGAGAGACATGTTTTTTTATTCTTGTCAGAAATCAAACAAGCTGGTATAGCAAAATAAACGTGCACCTGTACGACAAGTCCATTTGTTCTTCATATATTGCTTTTAAGCTAATTTTGTGATATTAATAATACTAATATATTGATATTTTGCTAATTTAGATATATTTTTGCTTCTGTGACAGGACATACGCCGTGGTAGCCTGGTTTAAACCAGACCCTGTCCTTCACTTTGCTTCGTACAAGGGTCTGGACTTGATGCATAGAGAAGTGATTCTTGCAGGAGGCGTGGCCTCTGCTGAAGTTTAAAATGAATGGATCAGTTGGCTGCGACGTATGTCGCTGTGACGGAGGCTAAGCTAAGAAGCTAACCGGAAATCGCGTGTGTTGTAAACAATCCTACTGAGAGGAGAGAAGTACGGAGCCGGGCGAGACGACTGAGAATGAGAGCTGCTGCTTTGTCAGACAAATTTATTTTAATTTGGAAGCCTTATCAACACAGACTGGCTTCATTCACTTCCTCCACTGCCGTATGCTAAAATAACTAGCAGACTGCACAGAAAGTCAACGTCGTTCAAAGCTCCTCCTTCTGTTCTCTGATTGGCCCGGCTAAAAATCTGCCAGCGAAATCCTTCTCTATGGGAGAAGTCCCAGACGGAGCAGAGAAGGGAAACTAGAATTGAGCGGAGCTGCACAGGAAGTCAAGGGCCAGGCTAACGCCGTGGTAATGGTGGGAATAAAGCAGAAAGCCAGATCGTCTAAATTCACAGCCATTTCTTTCCAGTCTTTGCTGTTGACCAAGGACCCGGCCCATGTAGACTGGGTCCTTTGAAGGGCCCAGCCCCTTGGACACAGCCTTCCTGTGAGACTCAAGTGGTGCCATTGTTCCCTGTAGCGACACCTACAGTTTCGGAGGGGAACTGCTGTCCATGTAGCTCGTCTCAGGCATCTTTAAATAAACCTGGGGTGTCCAATCCTGGTCCTTGACATCCACTATCCTGCAAGCTTTAGAGGTTTCTCTGCTCCCACACACCTGATTGGAATGAATGGGTCATTACCAGGCTTCTGCAGAACTTGAAGAGGTAATATAATCACTGAACCAGGTGTGGAGGACGAAAGAACAGTAGAGTTTATGATTCAGAGATCCAACGCTCAGGTAGAAATACAACACTGGTTTTTGGATTGGGTCATTATCACAGCTGGACATTTTGCACCCTGCTGTGGCCCCTTGCTAAGACCTGATTAAGTCAATATGATGGTAGGCCTATTCAAGACATTATTTAATTATATATGCAAATCACAGGAAAAACAAATATTGCATGCTGCATCATTAATCTAAGAAATGATCATTTAAAACAAGTAATAAAACAACAAAGGATTATAGGCTGTGGCTAAATACTGTATTATGATTTGTAAAGGGTTTAAAGGTGTCAGAACACAGTACACTCAAAACCATCAATAAAGTGTTTCTACTAGTACTGTGTAAAAACAGTTCTCACCAATGGTTAAACTTACTGTGCAAATTTGTTCTGATATTTTTCAAAGTACAAAGAAAAGGTTGAGGACCAGGTTTAATCAAGTCTGCAGTGAAACTTACAGAGTAAACAACATAACAGGTTTGCCTTTCTGCAGTTTGCTCAGAGCAAATGTCGAGAGAACGCAACACAGTAAAGGTATCTGACATAGAAACACTTTTTAGAAAAATCAGCTGCCAGTTTCCCTTCATGCCCCGTGTCCCACAGCGAGGCAGACGAAGCCCTCCGAGACTTTTCTGGGCTCCAAAAACTGTTTTTCATTCGTGGCATCCTAATAATTCATCACGCCCTTTGCTAATTAGGGTCTCTCATCTTTGTTGCCACCCACATTTCCTCTCCCTACTTTTTTTTGTCTTCCACTGCCCCAAACTATTCTTTTAAAGTAATCACCGGGCGCCGGGGAGTCCTTTGCTGAATTATTCATCCAGTCRGATCAAGACATATAAACAAGCATGCAGCCATTTCTTTTCCACCTCCCACTCTCCCTGCATCTTATCTCTCACTAACATTTGGCTTCTGCAGATTGGAAAAAAAGGTGAGAGAGAGAGAGAGAGAGAGAGAGAGAGAGAGAGAGAGAAGGAATATTTGATCCAAGGTGATGCTTGAGTAATAGACATCAGAATGGAGAAAGAAGCCAGCTCGGCTCCTTGAAGGTGAGGAAAAAGAGGAGGCAGAGGGAATAGGGGATGCTAAGAATGTCGAGGTAAAAAAATGACAAGCAGCGTGAGAGCTGAGAGTTTTATACACACATATTTCTGTGACCTTCGACGCAGCTGGATGAGCACAACAGAATGTTTACATGGACTCAAGAAATGGTCTAATCTAAATTCTTATTGAGGCTTCCTTTGTATCGACGGCTGCCAGGCAGAAACTGAGCCATTGAGACAATCAAATCCTCCTCAGTCATTTCCCCAAGAAYACTGCCGCTCATACATCATAAATAATGTAAAGAGTATTGAGCTGTACAAGTACGCATACCAACAAACACGCCACAGCTGTCTGTACGAGAGTCAGGCATTTGAGAGAGCTTCACGGTACTCACATCACCCAGAAAATAATGAATAAAAAGGAAAACAAGGCCCTAAAGGTGAGCAATGACTACAATTCTCACAGAATAAACCTATAAAACAATAGTCTTTCATATTATAGTGCTTCTGCCAAGTCATTGAAGCATTATTTTACCCAGGTTTTTATAAGTTTGAGCCTGATATATATTTGATAGAAGGGGGGTGATTAGATTTTCTCAAATGGGGTCATATATTTAAGTTAGAAATGTACAGGTCTAATTTAAAATAGTGAAACTATTCCTTTAAATGYCACAAGGAGCCATTTTAAACGCATAAGACATTTTCTTGCTGGTTGAAAATCCCTTTAATAAAATATGATTTTACTCAGCCAAGCCAACAAGCATGCTTGATTACTCCAATCCCAAGTTGTTTTGCATTCCTTCGACTGTGTTAGTTTTGGTAGAAATTTGATCCCAAGAGTTTTTCACATATTTAAAAACTGAAACTGTCACGGTGCTAAAAAAAAAGCACATTTCTTCCACATGTTTTGACATGAAAATGTGTTAGTTTCAGGAATTCTTAAAAGTTAACGTTATAAAATGATGATGCTGTGCACAGAGATGAGATGTAACCAAGATACAGCTGTTAAATTATAGTTGTTTTCCATATAACAATATCTTCTATGTACATAGAAGAACTGAAGTTGACTACCAAAAAATAAAAATAAAATAAAATAAAAAATAAAAAAGTAATAGTAAATAAAACATTAAAACAAGCGAAAGTCATGTATTTATGCTATATTAGCATGGCTAGATTGATA